AAAAAAAAGCATTCCAATCCAGTTAGAACCCTGGCCAGAGAAACCTCAGCTAATGTGTTTTTGTTTTGTTTTTGTTTTTTGCAAACACCATCCTTGGCATCCTAACAGTTATCATGGTAAGCCCTCAGGGTGCCTTGCACCTGTGCCAGGCACTGTGTTCCATGATTCTACATCAATGATTTTACTTCACTCCTCAGCAGCCCTATGCTCTAGGTACCATTATTGGTACCATTTTGCAACAGAAGAAACTAATGCTCTGGGAGGACTTGCCCCAAACCAGGAGGTAGCAGAGTGGGGAATTGAACCCAGACAATAATCTGACTCTAAAACTGGTCTTGCTTACTTGCTGTGCTGTTTCTAATTTTTATTTCTAATGCTCTGGGCCGTCGTGTTGGCCAGTCATGGATGGGAAATGAGATGGCGGAGAGCAGGGCAGGGGCAGTGATCTCATCTCTGCCCATGGCACAGGCTCAAGTCATTAGCATCACCAGGTTATCGTTTCCTCTTAATACTATGGCAAGAAAGATCGAGGGCTTTTAAAAATCTTTGATTTGTGGAATTCTGATTTTTTTTTTCCTAGCTAGAAGCAGTTTTGGGTAGAGGTAAGGAAAAAAAAAACAACAGTGGTCATAGTGGTTTCTATATTCCTTGAGTGATGACTGTTAAGAATGTACAGGTCCAGAGGACCAGAGGCTTACTATTTATAAAAATGTTAGAAATCGAGTCCTTTGCCACTTGGCCAGGGGCTTATATTACTGGGCAGATGATCATTTTGTTGATATTTTTGAGTGGTCCAAACTTAATTTTTTGTCCCCAAGGTACCTTGGTCTCTAGTATTTGCCCCATTATCATAGTTGTTTATTCTAATCAGTATGAGGAAAATGCTCTCACTTTCTTTTGTGGTGTCTTTGGATCTCTGCTTAGCTCCCAGTCCCCCCACCACTCTTCCCCAGCAACGTGCAGACATCTTTGCTGTTGCCCTAACTAGAGCTACAGAGGAGAACAGCTTAGATTCTTCTCCTGCCAGTTTTTGGGTGATGGAATTTCCTGGGGGCACAGAGACTCTGTTGCAATCATCTTCACACACAGCTACTGCAATCAGCAATGGCCAGCAACCCAGAGGGGACAGCAGCCCAACCCTAGAACCATCTTTGGATGTCCGTGGGCTGGAGAGACTCATGGCTCCTGGGAGATTCTCCTCAGAGGGCATTGCTTCCAGCCCTAGCACCTACTTCAGGTAAGGGATCAGGGGTGGACCATTCAGTAAGGTGGTAGGATGAGGCCAAACAGTGGGGTGCTGAGAAAACATACATTTCTTGGTGTCTGACAGAAAAGACCTCACCATATTTATTCTTAAGTGCACAAGAAACCCTGATTGTAGAAGGGCTACTGGTCAAAAGGACTGGGTATGAAAATCACCTAGGGAAACTGTATTCTCCTGGCCAGGGTGAGATCCCTGAGATGCTGCTATAAATAAAATAAGATACAAATATACATTTTATAGCTTAGATATGTAAATTTATAATATATAAATACATATTTTATGTAAAATAAATAAAAGCATTCAGTGAGTCTTTGTTGCTATCCTCACTAGCCTCTTCCCCACCCCATCTCCTATTCCTCTTTAGCCCTCAGCTCCAAACTCAGAAGTCTTTCCAAAGAAATCTGATTTTACCAGCATACATAGCAATGGTAGGAAATGCTGCTTTTTGATCCATATACTTAGTGACCCCTTCTCAGCCCTCTGTCCTTCTCTTTAGTACTCAGGATGATCCAAGCTTTGGTTCATTGGAAACTTGCTTGCCCTCGGATAGAGATGAACAGGTAATAGCCCTGGTTGTGCATGGTTGATGAGGCTGATATTTTGATCCCAGTGTGGGAAGTTCCAGGCTGGGAAAGCAAAGCTATTATACTAGTAGCCAAAATTTGAGAGAAGTACTCAAGGGTATGATATATATTCAGCATCTTTTTACCAATCAATACCAGCCTTTCTGTTATACACAGTGTCTCTGAAGTTATTGACAATTGTAGAAATTGATAGTTTTAGTTATTTGTTTTCCCACTTAGCCTCAGTTAATAATTCTTGTCTTTCCACCTCTCCACCCCCACTTTATAACATTGGCCTCAAAACACCACGTATGGTTCCAGAGGTTAGATCAATGGGCGGTATAAAATATACATGCCCACTGATTTACTATTCCTTTGAAGTCTTAAAAGGAACACAAAATAAAACATGGTATAATATTCCTACTCAAATTTATTGGAACCTACAGAAAGATTAAATGTCTTCTTTCATGGGTCCTAGCATAAAAAGACAGTCAAAGCTTTCTGCCATTGGAGATGATAATCACCCAAATTGGTCTGGAAACCTCTTAAAGGACCCTAAGTTTATTCTTGTAACTGGCCTCTATGCTCTCTTTGTGGGGTTTCCATTAGCTACCTCATCCCCATCAACCACAAGGGCATATCTATCTACTTGGGCATTTTATTCTGAGCTCTTTTAGGACCAGGCACAAGGTTGGGTTTTCAGCTGCTGCCTGGGCTTCTTTAAGGATCCCAAATTAATTGGGAAGTTCAGTGGCAGCTTGGAAGAAGACTAGATCCTTTGACTTCTTTTTTTTCCCTTTGCTTTTCTAGGACAAGATGGAATCCTCTAATAGGACTGTGAGGAGGTCCCATCTGTCCACTGTCCATCTTACCTACCCTCGGCATTTCTGGTCCTCTGAAGCATTCACTGGGAGTGAGTCTAGGGCAGCCACCTCAACCCCTGTCTTCCACACTTCTGCCACTTCTAGGCCACCTGCTGCAGGCAGCCAGTCAGAGGCATCTAGGCCTTCTGCCAGCTTCTTACCTCAGTCGAAGTACAAGGAGCCCAGAGTGGGGGAGGGAAATGGAAGGGGCAGAGGGGGATACCCCAGGAAGCCCAACCCAAGGCCTGAGGTTGAGCAAGAGGGACACAGTGCCCCTTTGGGGCTCCAGCTCAGGACTTCCCAGCTGGGAATCCTGCTTTGCCTTTCAGCCACCTTGGGCATGGCCCTGGCTGCTGGCCTTCGCTACCTGCGTGCCCAATATTGCCACACTCAGACGGAAGTATCCTTCAGTGAGCCTGCTGGGGATGCTATTACCAGCAGCGACGGAGGCGAGACTGTGCATGTCAGGAAGATCGGGGAGAACAGTTTTGTTTCAGTTGAAGTGGAATACAACTGGATCACTTCCTCTGTGGGTAGTGAGAAAACAGTCCTCTGAGAAGATCGTGGTACTAGGCAGGCCTCTGAGTGGCTGTCCCTAGACCCTGCGGTGTCTCAGCCAGAACAGAGCTAATGAGAATAGCTGATGAGGACAGGGGCTCCCTGTGCCCCCATCAGTGAGCAGTTAGTGGAGGAAGCTGTGAGCAGACCGTTTTATCAACAGAGGGAGTTCTGCCCGAGCTTTGTTGTCTTAACATCTGTAATTTAGCTGCTTTTTTTTTTCTTTTCACAATTAGACGTTCTGTTTGAAGAGTTAAACTCCACACAATGAATATTGTATAACCTGCTCATTAACTAGACTCCTGTGGCCGCCAAGCTTCCTCTGTTGCCTTAAGGAACCTGCAGAAATAGAAATTCTGTCCCTCCTCAGTATGTCAGCCTCATCCCTTCCAACTCTTTGAAAAAAAAAAAAAGTAATGTTGGGGTTGTGTCTCTTGCAAGAAAAAGAACTGTGGCCCTCACTTTGCCTCTCCAAACCACCCCAGAAGAAGTTTCATTTTCAACACTGGCTCTGCTTCGGTTGACTAGGTGAGTGCAAGGGTATTCAGTCTTCTTGGAAACTCAGAAGCCTGGCAAATCCCCTTGGAAATTGATCTGAAGCAAGGAGAGTTTGAGAGAGCTCGACTGAACACATCTGTGGGAAAACGTATACATGCTGCATAAACACCAGAGTGGGGTAAGCACGCCTCTTCGTCAGGTGTAAATGGATCTGAGACTTCCCATCCATTTACACTTGATGGGAGGCTTATGAATCCTAACAGCTAGCAAACATATTGCCTTTTGCCAAAGGTCAGGCTGAAAAAAACTGATGATCCCACAGTTTGAAGAAGAGCCTCTACTCATCTTTTCAGGGAGAAAAGGAAGACAGCATTGTGGACAAAGTCCATTTTCCTGCTCTTGTGATTTACGAAGATCACTTTGATTTAGGACGTGTCCCATAGATACTGTGTGGGGTCAACAGGTTTGACTATAACTTTTGAATATACTCACCTAATATGACACGTAGAAATTAGCTGCCTTTTCAGAGCTAGACCTGCTACAGAGTCACAAAGCATTTTAATGTAGAAACAGGAAAACACTACACATCTGGCAAGGGTGTTTATTCATCCAGCACCTAGATCGTACAGGTAGTGTGCTAACTTTGCATACATTTTCACATTTAACTTTCACAATAACTTAATGAGGAAAAAGTGTAGTGACTTGCCAAAGAGAGAGAGGCTTTCATGACATCTCAGTTCAACAACAAAAACATTTTTTTAAAAAAACTGGGGTGTGGGAAAGAGCTAGATCCTGCTGTTTTTCCAGCCTCTTATAGCTCACTGGGCACTAATACCACAATTGTTTCCTCCTGGATTCTGGGCTAGGCAGATCTGTCCCATCTTTAGTCAAGTGCCTCATTAGGACCAGGGAGACCTAGGTAATTGTGTGTTCACAAATGAAAGTGTTCTAGGAATGCTGTGGAAATGAGTGAATTTACTGTACTCCAATGGCAGCCACAGATATCCTTTTACATATCTCGCCCTCCTCAAATGAAATCCTCCCCGAGATGCAGACGAGGAACCCACCAGTGGAGAGCTCTCCTCTGACGATCACATCAGATGGCCAAGTGCACTACACGTACACCTTCAAGACCTTACCTGTCCAAGAGGACATTTTCCTGGGTAAACAGACTGTTGTCTATTTGTTTCACAACTGTTTGAAATAAACTATCCCCAAACTCAGTGGTTTAAAATAGCCATGACCACCACCACTTGTCGTCTATCACAGTTCTAGGGTTGGCTGGGCTCAGCTGGGCAGTTCATCTGTTCCATGTGTTCTTGACTGAGCTGGAACACCCAAGGTGACTCACTCACGTGGCTGGCAGTTAGTCGCTGGCTGATGGCTGGGGCTCAGCTGGGGCCGTTGATGAGTGTAGGCAGCAGTTTGTTCCTTCTCTTCCTGGTTTCTTACATCATGATGGCTGGGTTCCAAGATGGGTATTCCGAGCAGACAAAACCAGAAATTAGGCGATGTCTTGAGGCCTAGCCTCAGAAATAACATGGTTTCACTTCTGCCACTTTCTAGTGGTTACAGGGAGCCATGGGCCAGCTCTCCTTCTTCAGAAGGAAGGGCGATGGATTTCATTTTTGATGGGAGAAGTGGCAAAGGATGCGAAGCTATGTTTAATTCACTACCTCTCCGGTTAGACTACCGACCTGCCACAGGACTTATGTGAGAGTAGAAGGAAGGGACATTCATCCCCAAGAGGTGCCCTGGGGGACTTGTTCTGGAAAACATCGAAAGGGGTGACGGAAATCTCAGACATCAGGGTTAGGTATTTCCTCTTCTCCGGTTCCACGGGCAAAATAGTAAAGTGGTGCGGAAGAGTCAGCCAGGCCTCTGAGTCTCAGCTTCCCCATCAGAGAAAAACAAAATTATTTACCTGATTCGGTTGTTGTGAAGATTAAATGCATGTTCGACATTTAGCCATCTATATAACCAACTGCTTAATGTCACTTTGCAGCCAACACCATCTTTAAATCTAGTCCATTTAGAGAAATTCAGTGGTCAACAAAAACGTTACTCCCTTTCCATGACAGCTTCTCCCTGTCGGCCCCTCCTTCTCCTGCCCAGCACATGGAGGTGGTCACGGCTTTAGTTGTCATGGTAGCCACTGGCTACAGTTCCTGCTGGGGGTCACACATTTTTGCTGAGACATTCTGAGTAAACTTTTTTTGGCAGGGGCAGTGGGGTCCATAGACCTGTAGTCATGAGACATAAAACCCCTCTGTTACTGTGAACTTGAAAGTCCTCTAAGCCTGGCTTCAGAGAAGCCCCAGAGGGGAGCCAGTAGGAAGTGTTAACCTGAAGGCATTTACTAAAGCACAAAGACATTAAAAGTAAAAAAAAAAAAAAAAAAAAAGCAAAGCAACTCAAATGCAAAGTCTTAACATAATTTTTTTTGTTTTGTAGGAACAGCTACAGAATTGTTGGGCCAGCCACTTCTCAGAGAAGGGGGTTTGGGCTAAATACACATTTAAGGGAAAATGGCAGAAAAACAATTGTTGACAACTCTATTTCAAACAAATGTTTTTACCTCTATTGTGTTGTGTTAATTCAATAATAGCAGATCGAGAGGAGGAGAGTAGGGGAGAGCCTCAACCTTTCTTACATTGAGAGGCTATTTCTGATATTTCTAATTGATTTCTCACCTTGGATACAATATTTTCACTAAATCACAACCTAATGCTTAACGATAGCGTGGCTGAGCTGTCCCACTATTGAGGCTGTCTGGATTTTAATTTGCTGTGACAATGTTTGTTGCCTTTTAAAAAAATCCTAATTAACAACAACAAAAATGGGTCGACAAACCAGTAAATATTTAAATAAGTGTCGTGTTTTATTTGAAACGTTGTCTAGAGATGGCTGACACTTTATGAATAAATTGCAGATATACCCTCTCCCATTCTGGGACTTCCGGTGTTCATCAGTGATCCCAGACTCTCTGGAATACAGGCTCTGTGATTTGATTTCATTCTACCCCAGACTATCCCCTTCTTCTAAAAGTGGTGTGCAGCAAGGAATTTCTTTTATTCAAGTAAAATGAATTTGTGTCCCTTATTTTATTAAACTTGAGAACAGCCTCAGAAGAACTCTGCTCCTTCTGCAAGTGGAGGCTTTCAGGTGTTGCAAACCCAGGAACGGTCACCTCTGGTTTAGAGCATCAGGAGGGCCTTTATGATAAAAGGAAGTCTGAAGTTTAGTTTGTTATTCCATTTTTTACATGCAAAAGGAAAATGTGAATGTGTTGACACTCTGCTCTGTTGATAATTGAGTGAAGCTTCCAGGACAACTGAGCCCTGTCGAATGTTTTGTTTTGTTTTGTTTTTTGGTGGCTTTTTGCTTTTAAAACATAACTCAGTTGTTTTTTTTTTTTTTTAATGTTTATTTTTGAGAGAGAGAGACAGAGTGCGAGTGGGGAGGGGGAGAGAGAGACACACACACAGAATCTGAAGCAGGCTCCAGGCTCTGAGCTGTCAGCACAGAGCCTGACATGGGGCTCAAACCCATGAACCATGAGATCATGACCTGAGCCGAAATCGGACACTTAACCGACTGAGCCACCCAGGTGCCCCAAAACATAACTCAGTTTATGCCACACTGTCTCTGAGTTCTCTGGTGGCTTTCCACCTGTCTCCGAATAAAGTCTGAGCATCTGATTGGACTGACCAGGGGCTGTGAGACCTGGTCCCCTGCCCACCTTCTTCCTGACTCCCCACCTCCACTGTGCAGTCATGAGCGCTCCTTGAACACTGCACCACTTCATTCAGATCACTTGCTCTGGCTGTTCTTGTCTCAAATCCCATCCTCTCCGACCTCTCCTCAAGCCTTCAGAGCTTTGTTCCAATGTTGCCTTATCGGAGAAGCTCCTCCTGGCCATTGCAGTCTTTTCTCGCCCTCTATGCCCCTCTCTGCTTTACAATATTTATAGTACTTATCACTTCCTGAGTCTTATGTATTTATTTGTGTTGTTTATTTTCTGCCTCCACCTGACTAGGATGAGGCAGAGACTTTGTTTTACTCATTGATATTCCCCCAGCCCCTCGAGTTGTTCTTAGTACATCGTAAGTAATCAATAAAAATTTGCTAAATGAATGAATGGAAAGTTTCGGCTTTGTGTTGCTGCCCCCAGTTCTTAGTCTGGATTGAAGTTGAACATGCAGCACCTGGGGCAGTTCTAGGCAGGGTGTGTGGGCATCAGGAAATGCAGGTTCCCGTCTAGAGGTGAACTAGAGTTCTGTGGGCCACTGTCTCCAGGGCAGGGGATGTTCTGTGTCTCAGATCCAAGGCTCAGGGAAATTCTTGGCACAGAGAGGCTGACAATAGACTTAACCTCCCAATCTGAGCTGGGGCAGAAGGAAAGCTGAATGGAGGCTTTCTAAGTCAGAAGCTCCCCGTGAGCACACTTTCTTCAGTGTAGATACTCCGGCACATGGTTTCTAAGCCCCCATACTCTCA